GCTTAGCCCTGGGCCATGCACTTAGTAGGTGCTTAACAAAGCAGTGTCACTCTCCATGCTTCTTTAAAGCCTGGCCACACCGTGACTATCTCTGGGCTCTGTGAAGGAGTAAAGGGTGTCTGCCCTTCATCAAACGGCCCGGTCCTACTGGGCTTATTTAAGTCCTTGTATCTGTCTGGTAGTCACAATCCGCTAAATTAATTTAAATTGCTGCAGGCGGGGAAAGCAGATGACCAAGTTTAGTCGAAGTATGTCTAAATCCATGCGTAGGATCTAGGTTCTTAGAGAAAAGGTGAGGAGCCTGCTTCCTGGGTTTTGTGCATGGACTTTGTGACATCCGTCCTGACTGTCCAGATGCCTCTTGCCACTGTCTGGACTGTGCACGTTGTGGGAAAGTTGCTTCCAGATGACTAGGGTACATCGGAGCATATACACTGTCAGGAACATACTAGTGACTGTAGCAAAATGAGGCCCCTGTCGCAGCCCGTGGGAATGTGTGGGTGCCTTGCAACAAAATTTCTAGATGTGATTGTTTCTGAAGAGGATTGTAGGGACTAGTTAGGAGGAATTGGCGTCCCTTACAGGTTATTAGCTGCAAGTACTGCTAGTTTTATCACCAGCTAGCTCTGTGACTTGGTTTCCTTTCCTATAAAGTGGAGGGCGCAGGGTTTCTGGCCCACTGCCTCCGAGCCCCTTTCTGTGTTCTGCAAGTACTCAGCCTTCGTTCCCTGTCCTCTCCAGCGACACTCCCTGGAATTCACAGCAATGGCAAATCTTGCTGTTCTCCCAGGCAGCTTTTATAATAGAAATCATTAGTTTTATTCAGCTTCAGCTTATTATAATTTGCATTTCAAATGCTTGGTTTTTGAAAGACTTTAAAACTTTCCAACTGATTTGCCATAACTTGACCAAGTGATTTGCGACTGCCGAGCCTGCTAGTTAACTCCGGTGGCTGCAGCAGCAGCTGCCTCAAAGGCTGAATCACTCAGAAGCTCCCACCCCTCAAGGGCCAAGTGACTCATCAAGTGACTGCAAATCGGGAGGAGTGTGGGATATGACTTCCTTTTAGCCTTCTTCCCCTTCTGGTGTCTTAGATGTGGATTCTCTAACAGGGACTCATTTTTTTCCTTTGTTTTCCTTCCATGATAATATCTACTTGTAAGAAGTTAAAATGTACACACTAACATAAGACGAAAGCGAAAGGTCCTCTGGTTTCCCTCCCTAGAGCGAGCCACTCTTAATAGTGAACATTCCTCCAGATATTGTTTTCTATTCTATATACTAATGTATTTTTAACAAAAAGAGATTGTGTTGACATGTATTGTCTTGCAACTTGCTGTGGTCTCCTAGCAATAGGTCTTGGAGATTTTTCTGTTTGTATTTATAGGTCTTTCTCATTTTTAACAGCAACATCGGTTTCCATGGTATTGTTATATCAGAAATTATCTAATTAGCCTCCTTTGGTCTGGGTGCGCACCAAACCTGATCCTAAGACAATGAATTGGGTGCAGACAGGCTCCTAGGAAGGGGATCCCAGGAAGCACTGGTTCTCGAGCTGGGAAGGGAGGCAGGAAAGGGAGGCAGGCCAGTCAGGTTCAGTGATAGAAGATAGAAGGACTCACAGAACGCAGAAGAGTTGTTATACTCATGATTATAATTTATTACAGCAAAAGGATACAGACTAATGTCAGCAAAGGGAAAAGGCGTGCAGGGCAGAGTCCAGGAGAGCCCAGGCATGAGCTTCTGGTCGCCCTCTCCCAGTGGAGTCCTGTGGAAGCACTTAATTCTCCCAGCGACAGAGTGTGGCAGCTCACTCAGAGTACTGCCAGCCGGGGAAGCTCACTCAGGCCTTGGTGTCCAGGATATTGATTGGGGGTCAGTCACGTAAGCATGGCTGCCCATCCAAGTGGCTCAGCCTAGTCTCCCGCCCCTTCCGAGGTCAAGTTGATATTGAGTGACCCAAGGCCCCCCACCATGAATCACACTGCTGGCATAGACTGGTGTGGCCTAGGCAGAGAGCCGTGGATGCTCGTGGTAGGACACTATCCACAGAAGCTTCGGGAAGCCTGCAGGGTGGGCTGAGGGGTGGGCAGGGCACCCACAGCCTGGGCCACACTTCCTCATGGACATTTTTATTATTCCCGTTTTTCATTCTTATAAACAATATTCTAGAGCAGGGATCAGCAAACTTTTTTGTAAAAGGCCAGATAGTAAGTACTTTCAGCTGTGGGCCACATGGTCTTTGCTGAAGCTACTCAGCTGGGCTGCTGTTGAGCAAAGGAGTGAACATGATGGACATGTTGTGGACATGATGTGAACAAGTGGGTTTGACTGAGTCCCAATAAAACTCACAAAAAACAGGGGGCAGCCAGATCTGGCTTGGAGGCTCTGGTTTGCCGATTCCTGAGGCAGAAAATATCCTTGTATGTATATCTTTGTCTGTTTGTGCAGATAATTGTATGGGGTAAATGCCTAGAAGTAGAATTGCAGGATCACAAGTTATGATGTTTTTATTTTGAGTAGATACTGTGAACTTACCTCAAAAGTTGAGCCAACTTTCCCTTTCACCAACAATGCATGATAGTGTCTGAGATTTTCTTTCTTAAAATCCCTTTCTCAGGGAAGCAAAACCTATATTTATTTACTAAGATGTTTCTGCATTTTCATTTGAGCTTTGGCGAAGCAGAGGAAGAAAGAATATTTTACCCCCGGGGAAGGAAACCAAATGGGGCCTAAAATAGTCTCATAATATATCTTGCTAAAATAATAATAATAATACTAGCCTGGCCAGCATGGCTCAGTGGTTGAGCATCCACCCATGAACCAGGAGGTCACTGTTCGATTCCCCGTCAGGGCACATGCCCAGGTTACAGACTCGATCAGCACTAGGGGGCGTGCAGGAGGCAGCCGATCAATGATTATCTCTCATCATTGATGTTTCTCTCTCTTTCCCCCTCTCCCTTCCTCTCTTTGAAATCAGTAAAAACATAGTATGATGATAATAATAATAATGATGATGTCTTGCTTTAGATTCGATGCCCATAGAGAAGGGGACTCTGGTAATGTGTTCTCATTTGGTGAATCAAACCTTACACTGTTCATCAAATGTGATTCAAAACAGTCGAGTGTTACCTATTCAAAAACAATTTTTTTCAAATGCATCAGAAAGCTCCTTAGCAGTTTTCTTTATTAAGCAAAGATTCCATTCCTAATTTTCATGAAAATGAGGTCCACCTGTGCATACTGAGTACTTTACCAAATGTACAAAAAATATACATGGTCCAATTTTTGTCTGTGGAGCTGACAGGTATGGGACACTTGATTGAGATGTGTAGCGTTTCACTTAGCCTAGTTCACTCAGCTTCGTTCACGCTGGATCTTTTTGGTTATTAGACAATGGATGAGGTTTTTATTCTTTTTTTTTTTACATTTTTCTCCCCCCCCCC